TAGAGTATTGATGCATGAACATTTCAGTGTTTTTGGATTGCCCAACCAAATTCACTCCGACAACGGAGCAGAATTCATAAATAAGTTATGGGTTGAACTATTTAATGAATTGAAGATTTTGCATACCAGGACCCCCCCCCCTTACAACCCTTCATCTAATATTAAGGAACAATGGCATAGAACAATAGTGGGTATTCTGAGAACAATGGGCAGGGAGATGCAAAATGAATACAATACCAAGGTACATAGTACATGGCAGCTGTGACAAACTCAGGTCGTACTGGGCGGGGCCCTATAAGATTTTAAGATTGATGGCCCCAGCGTTGGCTGAGGTAATTGCAGTGTAAGAGCAGGGTAAACCAAGGATAGTTAGCTTGGACATTCTCAAGAAATTTTGGGGGTAGAATTATGTACATGGCCTACCCAGTGACCCACCCCACCCCTCGTTTCAAGGAGGGGATGAGATTACGGAAATTCCAGCTCTGGATGTAGAGAAACAGGTAACAGAAGATACCAGAGGCCAGGAGAGATACAGCTGATCAGACTGACCCACTGGAGATTAGACAGACTGACTGTGAAACTCAGATAACATCCAGCTGTGAAGAGGGAGGGAAGGGATCCCACCCCACTCTGGATTTAGATAGAAGAGTTGATATGCAGGGAGAGGGGAAGAGGGGGGCAGAGTATCAGCCCTTCCCCAGCCTTGAAAATACCGGAGAACCAACCCAGCCAACCCTACTCCAACCTTCAGGTGCAGTGCCAGCCTACAGCCCAGAGAACGAGATGGATATTCAGGAGGTGACTGGGGGAGTAAAGAGAAGCCAAGCTGAACCCAAGGAAAACAGCCATAACGAAAAATGGAGGAAGAGGGAAGGGATCAAGAGGAGATTACAAGATGAACCAACCCAGCCAATCCTACCCCAATCCTCAAGTACAATGCCAGTCTATCATCAGGAGAACGAGATATATATGCATGAAGGGGCTGGAGGAGTAAAGTGAGGGCAAACTGAACTGAAGAAAAACCTCCATCATGATAAATGGAGAAAGCGAGAAGGGATCAAGAGGGGATTGAAAGATATTCCTCGTGTACCATATGAGGAGTATGAAGCCAGCTGGGACCAAGAGATTCAAGCCAAGAAATGCAAAGGATCAATTTTTGGATCGCTGTGGCTGCATAGAGAGACCAGCAGAAAACCTGGCCGGGACAGTACAAATTTCACCCCTTACCCTAGTTATGAGAGATCCACAGGCAGGAATGATCGCAGCCCTACCAGTGCAGCCAGAACGTGCCACTATGGCAGCAGTGCAGAACAATTCTATCTCTCCAGCTATTGGTCAGTCAACAAGGAACACAAGGAGGAGTAACAGATCATGGAGTAGTTCTCTGTTTCGTACTGGTTTGATGCTTTTATTCATGTTCCTCTCTATCACAGAGGGTTTTAAGGATTGGAGCGAAATAACTCAACAGATGTTTACACCTGACTACCACCTCCAACCCCAGATGCCCATCTACATGATGTCAGGAAAAGAGCTGTTTCCTTCACATGAAATGAAGCGTGACTTAACCAGAAACCAAGGAGTCTATAAGATATCAACCTAGCTAGAGTCCTTCTCAATGGAAAGCTATCAATGCTAGAGGTTCTACACCAACAGTCTAACATGAGAGGATCGAAAGCTAGATGCGCCCACCAAGATCAGCACAGAGTGAGAGGTTACGATGCTGTTTGCAACTTGTTTAGGTCACTCAGTCAGTACCTGGAGTGGGATGTGTCCGTAGATATCAACCTGGGGTTATAGATTACGATGTTGCTTCTCAGCGCATTGATATCACCAATGTTGCTGTTCTAGATCCAGGGTAGTTCAAGGTTAGACCCGGGGCTGACCCAAATCCAGCTGGAGCGACTGATGACTAATTTTGGAGAACTATGATGTCAAGAGATCGTTAAAAGGGGCATTGAATGATAACTTTTGACACCGTCCCCCCTGGGATTTGTAGCATATTCTGTAGTAATGCTTAGTACGATCTATATTATCCATGCTAGTAATATATCTTATCTATTTTTATGTTGACCCTGTCCGGCTAGTCCGGTCAGTTTAATTTTACCTGTATATAAATAAATTAGTACTACATGAACCTTTGTGTTATACGGACGTATACATATACGTACGTATACGTATAATGAGTTTTGGCTATATATTGAGAGCCTAGAGTTTGGCTAGAGATAGAGTCAGTGAGACTGTAATTAGACTTTGAGTATTGTAATCTCAGGACCTAGATTTATTACATGAAAGGCAATTAAAGGGAATGAAAGAATTGGAAGGGAAGGGAATGGAAGGGAATGGAAGGGAAGAATGAAAGTAATTGGAAGGGAATGTAAGGAATGGAATGAAATGGAAGTAGATGGAAGGGAATGGAAGGAAATGGAAGGAAATGGAAGGGAATGGAAGAGAATGGAAGGGAATGGAAGGAAATGGAAGGAAATGGAAGGGAATGGAAGGGAATGGAAGGGAACGGAAGGGAACGGAAGGGAATGGAAGGGAATGGAAGGGAATGGAAGGGAATGGAAGGGAATGGAAGGGAATTTAAGGGAATGAAAGGAAAAGAAAGAAAATAGATGGGGAAATGATTGTACTTGAAAAAAGAAAAAGGAATCTCCCTGAAACCTTGGATGAAATTAGACTGGCAGGTTAATGATATATAATTGTTTAAGCTAAGTTACATATGTAAATAATTAAAACAAGGAAAACACTAGGCAATGACGCCTTCTCTTTCTATCGTTGTACTTTCTTGACAGAGGTGCCTTTGTCTCCCAGAGCCGGAAACTTCAGACAAGAAATTGGAAATAAACTTGGGATCAGAAACCAGGTTTCGTAAATGAGTTTTGATAGTTTGTAAATATCATCCTGAATTTATCGTGTAATATTATTTTATATTTCATATCTGGTATAATCCTTCTTAGTCTAATCCTACTTGGTCTGCTTCTCCTTGGTCTAATCCTTCTTTTTCTAATCATACTTATTCTAATCCTGCATGATCTCATCCACATTGGTCTAATCCTCCTTGGTCTAATCATCCTTGGTTTAATCCTCCTGGTATAATCCTTCTTAGTATAATCCTACTTGGCCTAATACTCCTTGGTATAATACACCTTGGTCTAATTCTCCTTAGTATTATCCTCCTTGGTATAATCCTCCTTTGTCTTATCCTCCTTGGTCTAGTCCTCCTTGGTCTAATTTTCCTTAGTCTTATTCTCACTTGGTCTAATCCTTCTTTGTTTAATCCTCCTTGGTCTAATTTGCCTTGGTGTAATCCTACTTTGTCAATTCCTCCTTGGTCTTATTCTCCTTGTTCTAATCCTACTTAGTGTAATCCTCCTTGGTCTAGTTCTTAATCTTCCTTAGTACAATCCTCCTTGGCCTTATCTTCTTTGATATATTCCTCCTTAGTTTTATCCTACTAGGTCTAATCCTTCTTGGTCTAATCATTCTTGGTTAAGTTTGCCTTTATCTAATCCTACTTTGTCTATTCCTCCTTAGTCTTATTCTCCTTGGTCTAATCCTAATTGTTCTAATCCTCCTTGGTCTAGCTCTCCTCGGTCTAATCCTCCAATCGGTCCAATCCTCCTTGGTCTAATCCACCTTAGTCTTATCTCAGTTGGTCTAATCCTTCTTTGTCTCATCCTACTTGGTCTAATCTGCCTTGGTCCAATTTGCCTTGGTCTAATTTGCCTAGGTCTAATGATCCTTGGTATAATCCTCCTTGGTCCAATCCTCCTTGGTCCAATCCTCCTTGGTCCGATCCTCCTTGTTCCAATCCTCCTTAGTCCAATCCTCCTTGTTCCAATCCTCCTTGGTCCAATCCTTCTTGGTCCCATCCTCCTTCGTTTAATCCTTCTTTTTCTGATCTTTATTGGTCAGATCCTCATTGGTCTAATCCTCCTTGGTCTAATCTTCACTGGCCTAATCGTTCTTGGTATAATACTCCTTTGTCTAGTTCTCCTTGGCCTAATCCTCCTTGGTCTAGTATTCCTTGGTCTAATCCTCCTTGACTTAATAATACTTGGCCTATTCCTCTTTGACTAGTTTTCCTTGCAGTCTAATCCTCCTTGGCCTAATCCTACTTGGCCTATTATTTCTTGGTCTTATTCTCCTTGGTCAAACCGTCCTTGGAATTTTCCTCCTTGGTCTAATCCTAGTTTGCATATTACTCCTTAGTCTAATTCTCCTTTGTCTTGTCTTCCTTGGCTTAATCCTACTTGGCCTATTCCTCCTTGGTCTAATCATTCTTAGCTAATCCTACTTGGCCTAATCTTACTTGGCCTAATCCTACTTGGTCTTATTTTCCTTGGCCTGATTATATCTCTTTTTGAAAAAGATAATATTTAATAACTTTTATTTTGCAGTCAACTGTAGCTGTACAGAGTGCAGACTAAGGACGGAATACGGTACATATGCAGTACATCAAATGATTCATTTCCTTCTATGTACCATTTCTGTATCTAAATATATCGACCTCTTTTAAAGGCTTTATCAATTCTAGGTTATCTCCTTGTTCCTCTAGCTTAAAGATGTTCCAGCTGCTTTAGCATGATTAAATCTGTAATAATGTAATGAGATAACTTCAAATTGCTGTAGTTTCACTCTACTCACAGCCTTATAAGAGTTTGGACAGAACAAGCTATATATAGGAATAAAAAATCCGAATATGAACAACATTTAACATTAACGTCAGAAAAGCAAGAATAACTTTTCATTTTTTCATTTTTACACCCTGCAATTTCAAAATTTAGGATTTTTCAATCATTTTCATCAATAGAAATTTCAAGTATTTTTTCAGAATTATCATGAATGAAACAGTGTGCAATAAAAATTGTTTTTCGCTATGTTACGACTATATTGTGTTTAAAGGGAGTGTTCGCGAAAATTAAAGGGGGTATAGGCTTACGTCGAAAAGTATTCGATGGTGATTGTTCTTAAGCTTACTTCTATCTGTTGCGTCTATGAAGAGACAAAGGTTAAACACAAACAAGAACGTAGCGTCCAAAATCAGAAAGTTGCTTTATTTGACTCAGATCGTAAAAAATCTATTCAATTTCCATCAAATCAGTCCGATATTACAGACTGTAATCATCGAATTCTATTAGACGCATTTTTATATAGTTGATACTTCATATTATTTTCTTATTTGTTTTATAAATAATATGCACTAAAAACCACGAATTTTTGTCCGCTAGGTGTCTCTCCAACGTGGAACCATGCAGAAACATCGAGAGCAGTGAACCTGGCGGCCAACTAATGGTCATTTTAATTGAATTCATGTATAAAGCAAATAAAAAATATTCATTGAATATCAACTAGGCGTCGAATAGAATTCGAAGGTTATAGGTTGTAATATCTGAATGATTTGTTTAGAGTGAAATTGATTTTTTATGATCCGAGACGAATATTGCAACTTTTGTATGGACATTACGGTCTTCGGTATAGGCCGCTTTTAACAATTTTCTCCTTATAGACGTAACAAATTGAAGTATACAATTAGTAATGATCACCATCGAATTTTCTTCAACCTAAGCCTATACCTCCTGTCATCTTTCGGGAAAACTCCGTATAAAAAAACAGGGAAGAAAACTGTGCTATCTCAGGGTAAAGTGTAAAGTGTAGAATCTAAAAGGAAAGCGTACTTTACACTTTGTACATTAACATTCCGAAGGGTAAAGTCTAAAAATGTAGTATTGAGTTTATTTTTAACATTTTTTTATAAATTAAACAAAAAATTTTATAAAAGATAATTACAAACTTGCACAATATTATTTTAATAGTATTACAGTATTCCAATTCCTGGGTAGTGTTAAGTTTATATTTCACAGTAACCATGTGTAAAGTGGCAGGTGTTTAGTAAAGAATGTACATTAAAAATGTACAACGGTAGAGTGTACATTATAATGTATTCACTTATGCGCTTGCAATGTATTATTAAACAATTATTTCTACTGATTCAAGTTGTGAGATAGGTTCCCCTCTAACCTATTTTACCAAACCTTGTTTAAGTTTAGAAATTCTTGATAAATTTTAAAATAAATAAACTTTTTTTAATTATTTGGAATTATTCTAGGATCCAGTTGGGGATATTCTGCCGACAACGGTAAGACATTTTTTTAAATATTTTTTTTTTAAATTACAGTTAAGTCCGCTTGAAAATAGGTTGAATTTTTAAGATGGTAAAACAGATTTGATTAAACTGGATCATCTTTTAGTTGTTAAACTATTCTAATATTGTACAATCCCTGCAAGTATTGAGATACGAAGATGATAGATAGGGGTTTAGTGTTCGAAACAAACTCCAAATTAATATCCATCTGCAGGCTAATATCCACCAGTTTCATGACTTGGCATACGATAACTCGTCTTAAACTTAATTTTTTCCCCTATATTTGCAAAACTTGATGGAGTAAACCTTCGATATATCAAACTTCAGGTTTTGATCAAACAGAATTCATAGTTTAAAATATCAAAGGAATAGAACATCAAGTTTCATGCCAAAGTTAAAAAAAATTTTTTTTTCAAAAACATTTCGAGGTCTCACATTTTAAATAACGACGATAGATATTTAACTACGGATACAGTGCAATACTGTACATACTTAACTTTAGCACATTTCACAAGGCCGGCTGAACACTGTGACAGTACAGGTCCCGATAGAGTTTAAATGACAGATACAAGGCTGCCCACTGTGACTGTACACTATGACTATAATATAGGTCCTGACAAATGGGCTGAAAAATATCCTCTCTGTGGAGCATCTTCTCAATCTCCTCTAGATCTAGATGTTTCAACTGCTCCAGCTAGGTAACATATATCTTCTCAATCTCCTCTAGATCTAGATGTTTCAACTGCTCCAGCTAGGTAACATATATCTTCTCAATCTCCTCTAGATCTAGATGTTTCAACTGCTCCAGCTAGGTAACATATATCTTCTCAATCTCCTCTAGATCAAGATGTTTCAACTGCTCCAGCTAGGTAACATATATCTTCTCAATCTGATCTAGATGTTTCAACTGCTCCAGCTAGGTAACATATATCTTCTCAATCCCCTCTAGATCTAGATGTTTCAACTGCTCCAGCTAGGTAACATATTATTTCTTTTTCTAACATTTTTTTAACTAAAAAATTAAAATAATATTTTTACTTTGTCACTTACATTGTGAAAAAATTAATTCTTAAATTCGAAATCTTGTTTATAGAATTATTTTCTAGCATTATTTCTGACATTAAAAAAATTCAAAAATGCCTATTTTCGAAATCAATTTTTACAAAAATACATCGTTTCCGAAAAAGTAGTTTTTTTTGTAATTTTGTCCCCTTTTGGTAAAATCTTCAACTCAATTATTAATAATATTAGAAATTTAGTTTTTAAGATACATTTTTTGTCAAATGATTACTAAATGATTTTTTTTACAGTAATGTCACTGGGGCTTTGGAGTTCATCGGATATGAGTAAGTTTTCTAAATTATTATAATTTTGTTCTTTCAATATTATTTACACATAAAATCAGATGGATTATCAAGTACAATAGGTAGCAACAGAGAAATGGATCGATTATTCACGACGTCATAAGTGTCAAATATAACAAGGAAGACAACATTTTATCCCAGTAGTTTACATGTTTTCCACGATTAAATAACAAAAGTGTAAAAACAGAAAATATAAAAAAAACACTTATTTTACAATAGGATAAGCACTTTATTATCACTATTTTTAATAATTTTTGTCAGACACATACAATTGTTGACACTTGTTACGTAAGAATTCAGCTGTACTGTACTTAGAGTGTAAAAATTCTACGTTGCCACCTATTGTACTATTTGCATATAATCTACTCATTAGGACTCCTCTGCCAGCTACAGTCAGTCAAAACAGCCACACTTTCACCTTAAAACCTATAGGTACAGTGATACTTTCATTTTTAGATATTATAGCAGTTTTCAGTATTTCTTAAAGGACCCTCCATTTAAATATAATTACATGTCCTATTTACAATGGTACCTTTGACACCTAAAATTGGATCAATACGATGAAAGAAAACGTTTTTCCTTTTAGCTTGAAGCGTGTTTAGTTCTCACAATTACTTCATTGTTTTTGAAGTAAAAAATGCAAAGGTCAGAAGAGAAACCACAAATGAAAAAAAGTCTTTAAGAAAAAAATACGGATATTTAATTCATGCTGTAACATACAAAGCTTTTTAGGAAACGCACTTAAACCCGCCTTAAACTTAAACTTTTTTTTAATGTGGCCTATGTACGAATTTAATGAATTTAAGCCGTGTCTCAAATCCCCCAAAAACCGGTTTCAATTGAGGGCCGCGCGGTTTAAATCTTGAAAAATTTAATTTAATTTAATACAACTTTTGTTATTCTCAGAAGCCAAGACTGCAAAGTTGTGTTTAAAGGAAGGATCCGAGAAACTTTTATTCTGTCCAGGCAACATTTTGAATGAATCGCTATCATTTTCTTTTTTTGTATTATAGATAAGTTTCCCCCAAAGAAAATAAGTAAAGGAGAAAAAATTGGTCCAAACGGACGATGTTCTTGAAGACTGATAAGACTTATTTTGGAAAAATACATGATTATAACATTATTTGTTATGAAAATTGATACTTTTCTGTAAAAGTATCTTTAAAAAGTATCTTTATAAATATGACTTGGGAAAAATGCTTTAGAGAAAAGGACGAAAAATGGCTGATAAGTTTTAAGATAGAAATCCGACGATATCTTCCTTAATTCAGATAAAAGTTAAAAGAGTACATAGTGTATATTCTTGAAACTTTGAGGACTACAACTTTAAATCATGAATATGTTCTGAGATTTATTTAATTTATATGTAATGCTCATCTATTGAAACGATATACCTTGCAAGATAGCTTGGTTCTCGTTGAAACATAATAGCAAAGGTTGTGTCTAGATAATTGGTATAGACTAATACGGCTTGTGTGATTGCCCGGCCCGGCTTGTGTCCTGTGTTGCATTTAGAGCCTAAGATTCAGTCCTATGTTATTTATACAGAATAAAATTGTATTAATTAACTAATTTTGAAATTTATCAGGTGATAGTCTTCCCACAATCAAAGGTGGAAGTCTTCCCGTTGGTGAAATGTAAGTCAAATTTTTCCTTTCATGTCTTCCTTTTTTTGTTTTGTATTATGTCTTTTTTACTCTTTGTTTTTTACAGTTAATTTTTTTTTTAACTCGGAAAATTAGCTTAAAAAAAATTAACCTTATTTCTAGAATATTTCAAAACAATTAGGTTTGCATAGTTAAAAAGTTACTCAATATTATTAGGTTTGCATAGGTTAACAAAGAAATAGATTCAGACTGTAAAAATTTTATTCTAGATTTGAATTTGCTCAATTCCATCTCCATTGGGGAAAAGATGATACCAAGGGGTCTGAACACAGGTATATCAAATTAAAAAGACTTTAAAGAGACTGTATAGGAAAAATGAAAGGGGTATAGGCTGAAACCTAATCAGTTTAGCTCTTGATCGCGACCCATGAAAATTATGTCTGATGGAACATCGAGAAATTGATGTAAAACTGTGTAAAATTTATACGAAAATGCATATATATACAATTTTGTATAGAAATAGTAGGTTTAAACAGAACATATTCAGCAAATACGCAACCAACCTGATAACAAGATATCGCAGAGAACCCTGATTGTAACTTAGGTTTTCTACAATTATTATTTTATAAATTTATTCTTATTTTGAAAAGATATAATTAATAATATTGTTTATAAGTCCGTATTACGTCACAAGAACTCCCGCCAATGAGAGTGCAGTATACTGGTCACGTGATACAGACAGAGATACTATACCCCCTTTCATTTTTCCTCTACAGTCACTTTAAGGACGGAACTTTTATAGGTTCAATCCACTCAGAAATCACTAAGTATTTCCAACGGATTAAGATCTATTCGAAATTACTTATAATTAAAAGTTTTCGCACATACAAATAAACAGACAAAGATTAAAATTTAGATGGTNCACTTCGTCTCTCCATAATATTATTAAAGGAAATGTAAACGTGATTTTAAGTGACCTTTCATCTAAATATGTCAATGTATGATTTACAACGGCTTTTGTTTCTTAAAACTGTTTTTCATTTGCAATTTCTCCGCGAAAGTGACTTTTATTTACAGAAATAAGGACTTTTCGCGTCAGTTTTCCTCTTTTTTGATTATATAATTATTTCAAGGGTACACTTGTAATTTGTAAATCGGGCATTGCCATCTTTGCATGGAGGGACATTTTAAATTACGCTTACAGTTCCTTTAAACAATTTGGAGGATAAAAACATCTTTTTATTAAATTAAAATGTTTTGATTATTAGACTGGTTGGTGCCATGCTCCCAGCTGAAATCCATTTGGTGCACTGGAATAAGAAGGTAATTAAAAACTTGGTTTTTGTCTTACAATATGTTCCAGCCAACAAGGTCCAACAATTGTTAAAATAAAATAAAACTCACATTTTTTGTTAAACTTCATAGCTTTTCTAAATTATATTGACATTTTTCTCAAAACGTTAAAAAGACTTTTTTTTAATCAAAATATTTGTTTCATCATGCTCTATGAGTAAATTACACAATTTTTTCAAAAAAATAATAATACAATTCATCGTTTATCAAATTTTATCTGTATTACATTTTAAAATTGTGACGAAATCATTATAACATTTATGACTATGAAGAAGTTTTTAATTTTTAATTTTCCTTTTAGGAAAAGGTTTTTGAAATTAAAGTTTTATCTTTGAGCATCAGCTCATTTTTGGCATATTGTAGACATTTTTTACATAATATCTGTATGAGGTTTACACTCTTTTAGATCTTTTTAGTAATAGGCTATTAAGAAATGTGAGTTTATTTTAAAAACTGTAAACATGGAGTGAGATAAAACGGGATATTTTTTGGCTAAAATTATTTCCCCGTATAGTTCAACTGTACGTAATCTGTTCAACTTTTTTTTTCAAGACCATTGAGTGATCAAAAAGAAAAATTCGAGTGAAATTTGTATCTAATTACAGGTTCCAATTAAAAGTGAAATTGACCGATATATGTTCTTCAAAGTAAGTGGAAAAGTAGGGCTTCCACAAAGTTGAGAAGCTTATCAGGGTCATTTAAACTCTCGATTGAGAACCGACTGTATTCTCAAAGTTTGAGAGATTCATAGAAATACTGTTTTTTACCTTATCACGAGATGAAATATAATAAAAATATGTCAGACAAGTGTTTTTACTGCATCGTGACCTGATTTCGGGATGTAATTTGTAATTAATTCTGTACTGAAATGAATTTTGATTTTATATACTGATTTTGATATAGTATCCTGATTTTGATTTAGTATCCTGATTTTGATTTAGTATCCAAGTTTTGATTTAGTAGCCTGTTTTTGATTTAGTATCCGGATTTTGATTTAGTATCCGGATTTTGATTTAGTATCCTGATTTGATTTAGTATCCTGATTTTGATTTAGTATCCTGATTTGATTTAGTATCCTGATTTTGATTTAGTATCCGGATTTTGATTTAGTATCCTGATTTTGATTTAGTATCCGGATTTTGATTTAGTATCCGGATTTTGATTTAGTATGGGGATTTCGGGACTGCAGCAGCTCAATCCGATGGACTAGCAGTTGTGGGTTTCTTTTACCAGGTAAGGAATTGGGTCTTTGGAACAAAATCAAATATTTAAACCTCAATATCTTTAGAACCCGATGTTTTAAACCTTTGATATTTCAAACTCAGATTATTTGATCTAACAGAATTCTTAATTTGAAATATCTAAGGTCTACAACATTTGGTTCCAAAGATATAGTGATTAGAAAATCAGAGTTTGTGACAAAGACTCAATTTCTTTGATTAATCACGTGACTTCTGAACTTTACACAATTCTTATAATTTCGCAGTTTATCAAAAAAGAGAATGTTAAAATTTTCCAGGTTTAAATATTATTATTTTTTGCTGTCTTTATATTAAGTTATACTTTTTTAAAATTAAACATTAGTTTAAAGGGACTGTAAAGGAAAAATTAAAGGGGGTATAGGCTGAAATCTGAGAATCTCAGGAGTTGAATGATACCTATAAGACATCTATCTGATGTTCCTGTCTCGAGAAATTGACATAAAACTGTGTCAAAACTATACCAAAACGTAAATATGTAAGATATACGTCCGTATCACGTGACATAAACTCCCTCCCATGGTAGTGCAGTATACTGGTCACGTGATCCAGACGGAGACACATGACAATAATACTGTACTGCTTCGGTTGGAGTTCTGGCGTCATGTTCCGGACTCATAAATAATATTATCAATTATAACTATTAAAAATGAAAAATTATTAAATTCAAATAATAATAGGAGCAAACTTGAGTTTCTCAGGCTCCTCTGGGCTATCGTTCTTTTCAGATTGGTTGCATATTTGTTGAATATTATCCGTTTATGCACAAATCTTGTACAAAATCTTACATATAAATGTTTTGTTATAGTTTTTTTTATCAATTTCTCGAGACAGGAACATCAGATAGAACACTTATATGTCTTAATCAACTCCTGAGATTTTCAGGTTTCCGCCTATACCCCATTTCATTTTTCCTTTACAGTCCCTTTAAGTAAAAGAAACCATAGAATAATAATAATCATTTCCGATTCCGTTGCTCACCCCATGTCGAATTTAAATTTTTAATAAGTGATTGTAGTCGTGTTTGTATTGATACTAAAAACATGTTTTAAATGAGTTTATTCCATTACAGCAGACTGTCAAAACTGTTTTGTTGATCAAGCATTGATCTCCATATTATGAAGACATACGGATTATATAATTCCTTTTCGATATCCTTTGGTGGTCATAAACTGAAGGGAATTCCCTTGGTGGTCATAAACTGAAGGGATAACTTGAAATGGGGGATCAAGCGTTGATCCCCAAATTTAAAAGCTATTCGATTGGATATTGAGATCATATGTTAAGATTAACCATAATTTAACGACTTTGAAACATACTTAGGTTTGGTTAGTTTGACGTGTGGTATTTTCCATGCTAGATAAACCTGAAACGAATTAAAACGAATCTAAAAGCAAATATCTAATTTTTTGTATTTTCCAGGTTGCAGCCAGCTCTAACGCTAAATACACCCCTATTCTTGACGGATTAAAGAAGCTTCCTGGAACTGAAAACAATTTTGAAGTTGACATTGGGTCCATCACCCTCAACGACTTAATCCCTGCAGGAGCAACGGATCATCTCCATTATAAGGTCCAACCATTTAAATCCAAATAATGGAAAACATGTAAAAGAATTGAATTTTCTATCCCTATTTCTATCTCTATTTCTTTGCTACCCAACGTCGTAAATCTTAGACATTTCAATATATGAAATCTATGAAACAAGCTGAGTTTTGATCATCAAAGGTTTACACGTTTGGGATGCAAAGATATATGGATTAGAAAATCCGACTTTGATAAATGTTTTCGTTTGATGAATGATAAATCTGACATTTTTCTTGGTTAGCAAAGTTGTGTATACAATGAATTTAAATTTTTAACAGAAGAAGTGAGAAACAAAATAACTGAGTTTTTGCCACAAACTCAGAGTTTCTAACCCCGGATTTTTGAAATCCGATGTCGTAGACTTTTGATATTTCAAACTATGAATTTTGCTGGATCAATTAGTCAAAGTCTGAAACATTAAAGGTTTACACCATCAGATTGTGAAGATATAAGGATTAAAAAATTTGAGTTTGTGGCAAGAACTCAAATCCATTGCCGCAAAATAAAATTTTTAATCTTTACGGTTTATTTACCTGATACTATAGACCTTTGATATTTCAAAAAAATACTTCAGAACTATAAATGAAAGATTTACTCCATCAGGTTGCAAAGATAAAAGGTTTGTAAAATTATAATTGTGCAGGGTTCCCTAACAACACCCCCCTGCTTGGAATCTGTTTTCTGGAATGTTTTCACTGACAAAATTGATCTTTCAGGAATAGTGTTTAATAAACTCTTTTTCAATTCTTTCAATTATGAGTTAAAACTTTTTTTTCTTAAAAGCGTTGCTAGATTTTCGAATTTAAAAAAGACGAGAACTTAAAATATTATTTTGAAATTAGTTTTCATTGGTTGGAAAGAGAGAACTTTCATGAAAATTGTTCACCAAATAACGAGACAGGGTTACGAGTTACCAAGCCTCAGCCTTTGGTCTGAACGTTATACATTTTCTAGCCCTGGATGTATAGATTTTAAAGCTGTTTTTTGGCCCTTGTTTTACAGACGTAGTTTGAAAATCCTTATGATTTATGCGTCAACATTTGCGTCAGATTGCAGAATAAAAAAACACTGTTTGAATCAAACAGACGCCGATTTGGCCGTTATCCGAGGAGTTACCGACGAGACAGGAAAATCTCTCAGGTTCAGTTTTTTATATATTCTCTAAAAACATATTTTTAAGGAAACTATAGACGTAATATTAAGCAACCCTCTTTAACTGTAGATAGCATTATATACACTGTATTCTTTAATTTTATGTCTGGCTGTCACTTTGGTTTAGCTTACAATGATTATATCAATACAATGAAGACGACTTTCTATTTCAATTTTGATTTAAATCATAGCTGTTGAACAGCATGGACACACATAAACATAGAAGTTAAGCGAAGCTGTCAATTGAAAAAGCTTCTCTTTGAATAATTGGAAACTTGTAATTCGAAAAAGGCTTGTTAACAATCAAAACTTAAGTAAAAAATCGTCTTCAATGTATAGTTATAATCGCCTACCACTGTAAAGGAAAGCTTGAGTTATTATTGTACACTCTATGACCATGCATATTAAACCGTTTTGAATAGTGGGCCGCTTAGTATATGTTCACAATCCATTTTAACTAAATTTTAGATCGCCTTTCGTAGGAAAAAATGTAAACAATTCAATTTTAATTTAATTTTCTTTTTTTTAGTGATAACTACAGACCACCTCAGCCATTGAATGGTCGCACGGTAAACCTATATATTAAACAAAATCTTGCATTTCAAATTCCCTCTCTACAGGGTGTCCTAATAAACATAGGAGTTAACCGATGACTTCTATATCGTCTTTGTTTTGCGTAGCATTATTACGGGAACACACATTGGGTTATATTCCAATTTAAACAGTTAATAATTAAGACAATTATAGGCTTGCAATTCCAAAATGTGGTTTGGAGATATTGAAAAATCATATTCTAATTATCAACAAATTGTTTAATAATTCCGTCAATATTTAAAATGCAAAGAAGGCAGACCACATTTTTTAAAAGCCCATTAGACGCTACGTTAAGTCTTTATTTTGATAAATTTGTTGTTATTTATCAACTATCAGAAGGTAATTTTCAAGTTCTCCCCTAATTCCCATGCAGATTTTAGAGTTATCATGGCACAACTGTTTGCTTTATTACAACATCAAATGTCGTCTTCCTTTTCCACAGTTTTATTATTCTCAATGTACAATTGAAACCAAATAAACAGTCACGATATCTTACAACTTGTTTTATATGCTCGGATTCCTGATAGCTCAGTTACTTCTTTCATTTTATGATTTTGATATTAATATTTCTATATTCTATTTGTTAAGGTTTACTCCTTCAAGAAAGCTTGAACAAGAGGAAAAAGGAAAGAAAACAGAAGAAGTTTTACTTTAGTTTATTTGCAACTTTTTAGCAACAGCACACTTTTTTTATTATTTATAATAATCTTTTAATAATAATAAACAATATGTTTTCTTATTTTTTCATTTTTGAGAGAGAGATACAGGGTTACCCACAATTAGGAAGAGACTTGTTTGCCAACCTGACAAGAATTTGATCCGCGGTTTAAATTTAAGCCGCGGTTTAAATATTGTTGGTTTCACTTAAATTTTTATTAAAGGGAGTGACCAGCTATGTAACGTAGTTGAGCTGAGTATGCTGTATGCAGCCTAGATAAATTAGAATAGATTGTTCATAAAGACTGTAAAGCTGAAAATTGTACAACCCATTGTACATCATGAACTTGTCATTTGAAGAGGTCATTGAATACGTTTTACTTCTCGGGGTCAATTGTAGAGTATTTTTTTTGCTAATTTATTTAAAGAAGTTTAATAAAAACTAGGTCTCACCCATTAACTATTTTAGCTTTTAACCCTAAACAGGCTTGGCCGGCCCTATAGTTTTTTTTTCCTAGCACTCTCATTTTTGTTACTATTACCGTGAAATTTTGTGACGTTTAATGAATAGTTAATCTAAAGGATTTTTCTGTTAATTTTTTTTAATGCATAGGGTAGGGTACAGGGCGGTAAAAAGTCCGGTCTGTGTAAAAAAAAATCTAAAATGGCCCTTAACTTTTTTGTGACTAAAGCTACTGCATATCCAAAAATTATATTTTTAAAAATTCCTTAAAAAATGGATTTAGAAACATGTGTCACAATTGGATATCTGTTTAAAAAAATTACAATTTTACCTTTTTTTTGCTTTTTTTTCAACCTTCCCTTGAGCCCAAACTATTAGAATTATCTGTCTAATTTTTTTTCAATGAGCTGGCGTTGAAAAATTGGTCTATGATTAAGCATTTAATTCTATACCTTTTCTCTAAGGCCTTTTTTAATGGGAGGGGCGTGGGACGCTCCCCCCCCAGGCTATTCATAGATTCAGACCCACCCAGCCTTTATGGTTGACTTTCGCCCTGAAATTCGCCATGAAAATCGTTTAAAATTTGGGTTTCTTTTTTGTTTAAATTGGTACATTTTCAAAAGTAATAAAAGTCGACTTTTTTCGTGACCCTTTTAAAATTAAAATATCCAAAACAGATTCTAAAAGTCCAAACACACAAAAGTGTACAAGACAAATGTGTAAATGAAAGTAAAGTTTAAAAATCTCTTTATTAATGAGCCGACAAAATTGAAAAAATTAGGAATACATAATTATCAAAAAGTATATCTTATATTCATAGGTTGGGAACTTCGTCTCAGTTGTAAAAAGATTAAGTAACAATTTGCAGCAGCCAATCTATTTCTCTATTGCATTCAAGACAAGTTGAAGAGAGATCTTGAAATTAAACAAAATTAGGTTAAAAAAGATAAACAAAAAACGGTTTAAAGAAATTGAAAATGGGTAATTTCCTAGAGAAGGATTTTTACTTTATTTTTCGTTGTCGATATTTAATAATTTTAAAAAACTAATTCTGAAAACGTATCCCCCCCCCCCCCAAAAAATAGGAGTTTTGAACATCGAATTTGCGCTTAAACTCAGGATTTACAGATATTTAAAAAGTTTAACATGAATGAATCCGAAAGAAGTTTTCCACAACACTACATACTCAGTTCAACTACCTTACATAGCCGGTCACTCGCTTCAATTCAAAGGAATTGAGTCTTTGCCACAAATTCAGTTTTTGTAAAACCTATATCTCTGTAAACCTTTGATATTTCAAACTTACATTATTTTATCTAATAGCATTCATAGTTTGATATATTAAAGGTCTACGACATTGGGTTGCAACGATATTGAAATTAGAAAATCAGAGTTTGTGGCAAAAACTCAATTCCTTTAAGTGGAACCAACAATATTTGAGCCGTGGCTTAAATTTAAACCGCGGATCAAATTATTTAAATTCGGCCTCAGGATACTTTAAAAGTGTTAGGTCGGCATACTAGTCGCTTACTAATTCTGGGTAACCCTGTATATTCTCTCACCCTAGTATGATTAGTAGTAATACTGTCCATTTGATATCGCCGCTAAATTTCTTTATTTTTCTCCTATTGGTGGATTTTTTTAAAGATAGA